TGATCCTCTGAAACGCAACAAGGGAAAACTAAAAAATAGAGAGCGTTTCGTCTAGGGCCCCAGGGCTTCCGGCTTTGTTTAGGTGTCATCGGGTGAGAAGGCTGATAGGGCTGAATTTAGGGTTTAGGGTTTAGGGTTTAGGGTTTAGGGTTTAGGGTTTAGGGTTTAGGGTTTAGGGTTTAGGGTTTAGGGTACACCGCTCCGAGTGTTTGGGCATCTGCATTCGTTTCATGGCAGGTGGTCGTGTCGACAGATGCCCTGCAATCCGTAGAGCACACGGAATCCTGAACACTATGAACCCTATAATCCCTATGAAGCCTGCGAAACGCTACGAGACTATAAACCCCCAAAAAACCCAGTAAACCCTATAAGCCGTCAAAACACTCTGAACCTTAAAGCCAAATCCCCAAGTAGGGGTTCAATCCTGAGCTGCTGAATCTCTCCGCCCAGGTAGTAGGGAAGGCCACAGTTGGCGAAGGAGACGTAGCCCCCCCGCTCGAAGATGGTGATGCTGGCCGACTCGTTCAACCGGCGGAGTCGCGCGGCCGTGCTGGCACCACCAGCGACGCCCCCGACGATGAGGACCTTCATCGGGCGACGAGAGGGCGATGCTGTGGGGGGCTGGGGGCTGCGGAGTCGAGCAAACGGCTTGTCCCCAGAATCACGCGAGACAGGATGGGAAGCCTTTGCTTCAGGAGCTTCAGGAGCGGCTGCGCTCACAAGCGCGTGGCGCTGAGTGCAAGTGCCTGGGGCATGGAAGCCTAAACATCCGAAGCCTGCTCTTCATGACGGCAGAAGGGCAGCGAGGGACTTTTTGCAGCAGCGCTCCTCTTCTGTACGCAGCGCGGCTTGCGATCCCTATGCCCTGCAGCCGCTGCGGATGTCTTGGGTAGACAACCTAGGCATGAGCAGAGGCACACAGATTCAAACCTACCACTGCAGACTCTATTACCTCTGCTACACACATCCTGCTACATATGCGATATCGAGTGCACGACGTCTGTTCAACACGACGCCAAACTCTTGCTAGATAGGAGATATTGAACACACTGGAGATAGGCTAAGCTTTTGCCTTCTATTCTTATGTCCTGCGCTTCTATGCTTTTATCCGACTATACTTTTACGGTTAGGCTATATCGTAGCGACATTACGCCAATTTCAAAACATGATGTCGAGAGAGCTCGTGCGAGAGAGCGAGGCAGAGCGACAGAGAAAGAGAAAGAGAAAGGAGAAGCGACAGAGAACGAGAGCGAACCTGCGTGCATTCGGGGCTCAACGGAACTGATTGGGTTGGGGAGGCTCAGGTGGCGGTGCTTTTTTCGGCGATCATTCCCGCCGCCTTCTTCGGCTCGGGGATTCAGGACGTTAAGGGCTTTGGCACTCGTTCTGGATGAGCCCGCCGCGCGAAGAGGTAAAGGTCACCCTGGAACCAATCACTTCTTGACCCTACACCTTAAACCCCTCGACCCCCATCCGCCATGGTGACAGCGGTCGTTTCCAAAAGCCCCTCGGACCTCCCCTCTACACCCCCAGAAAGGAGCAGAATCAGTAGAACCCGCAAGGACCCTCCCCACAAGCGTCCCCCTAAACCCTAAACCCTAAGCCCAGAGCCCTGAGCCTTAAGCCCTAAGCCCTAAGCCCTAAGCCCTAAACCCTAAACCCTCAACCCTAAACCCTAAACCCTAAACCCTAAACCCTAAACCCTAAACCCTAAACCCTAAACCCTAAACCCTAAACCCTGAACCTGTGGCTTGCAACCCATGGGCCTGCGTCCGCATCGTCTCATCGCTTGAGCCGCCTGCGTCGCAAAGCTGGGCGAGTTTAGGGTTTAGGGTGTAGGGTTTAGGGTTTAGGATTTAGGATTTAGGGTTTAGGGTTTAGGGTTTAGGGTTTCGGGCTTTCGAACCCGACACGCCGACATGAAGGGAAAGCTCAAGCAACTGCTGCTGCGATGCTTTTTGCGGCTCGTGACCCCCCCAGACTTGTCCTTCCCGCGGCTTCTCAACTTCATTCTGCAGCTGCTAACGTTACCCAACTTCTACGGCTTTTTGCGGGAGAGAAGCAGAAGGCTCGAGGTTTTGGGGCTTGGGGATGTGGAGATGCCCACCCGAAACCCTAAACCCCTAAACCCTAAACCCTAAACCCTAAACCCGAAACCCTAAAACCTAAACCTGAACTTCCCCAAGCCCTTAAAACCCCAAAGCCATACATCCCTCTCTTCCTCCAAAAAGGGCCCCTAAAGTTCCCCCCCCCTAACTGCGCTTGCAAACCCTAAAGTCCCGCAAAGAGCTAAAAACCATAAAGTCCCAAATTTACCTCAGACCCGAAAGTTCCCCCCAACATCCCCCCAAAATCTCTGGCAGCCCTGGTTTGCCCCCCCAATCCCCTGAAAACACCCTGAAGTTCCCCCTGAGACACCTAGACTTCCCCTAAACTCCCCTTACAAGCCTTATAAAGTTCTCCTAAACCCTAAACTTGCCCTAAACCCTTAGCCCTGAACCTCGGTTGGGGTTTAGGGTTTAGGGTTTAGGGTTTAGGGTTTAGGGTTTAGGGTTTAGGGTTTAGGGTTTAGGGTTTAGGGTTTAGGGTTTAGGGTTTAGGGTTTAGGGTTTAGGGTTTAGGGTTTAGGGTTTAGGGTTTAGGGTTTAGGGTCCTAAACCCTTAGCCCTGAACCCTCGGTTTTGGGCTTCAGGTGACGGAAGGGTGCCCCCTACTCCATGCAAAGCCTCGCCGCAGAGGCGGTCGAAAGCAACAAACTTTCAGGGGCCTTCATTTTGGGTTTTAAGGTTTAGGGTTTAGGGCTTAGGGTTTGGGCTTAGGCTTAGGGTTTAGGGTTTAGGGTTTAGGGTTTAGGGTTTAGGGCTTAGGGCTTAGGGCTTAGGGTTCTTGGGGATTAGGCCTGGTGGAGCCTTCGAAGTCTCGCGGGCGCCCACGCGACACTTCTGGCATCTAGGCGCGACGCTGTCTGGTCTGGAAGCTCAAAAAATGCAGAGACTCCAATACCCCATAATTAATGATGAATCTTCCTTAAACCATATAAGGAACCCCAGTATACTTGAAGGAATATTCCTCAAAGCATAATTACATACTTTAAGGAATATTCCTTAATGAAGGGGTATTGGAGTCTCTGGGAATGCATGCCCGGCCGAGGCCGTGTGGGGTGTAGGGGCTTCTAACCCCCAACGAAAACACAATGCTTGTGCAGAATTCGCATGGTCTGCCCTAAACCCTAAACCCTAAACCCTAAACCCTAAACCCTAAACCCTAAACCCTAAACCCTAAACTGGGGCATTCAGAAAGCCATTTGAGCCGCACAAAGTTGCGCAAAAGAAGAGTCGGCGCCTGCAAAAACTCATGCCGTCATCCATGTCATGTCCGGAGTCCAGTTTTAGGGTTTAGGGTTTAGGGTTTAGGGTTTAGGGTTTAGGGTTTAGGGTTTAGGGTTTAGGGTTTAGGGTTTAGGGTCCAGACCACCGAACGCCAACCAGTACCCATAGGAAGATGAACAAGACCCTGATCTACACTATACATAATCAGGGCCCAGACGACGCATCCCTTTAAATCCCCTTTAAACAAGGGTAAGGGGACCATACTCAGGGCCCATGGTTCCAACTTTAGCTGCTCAGCCACGGGTTCCAAACTTATGCTTCGACATGGCCAATTTCAGACCCCTAAACCCTAAAGGCCCACCATGAACGACCCTGATTTAGCCTTGGGATGTTCCCCCTTATACTAACAGTCCTTAATAAGGACGATTAGGGGTGTTAGTATAAGGGGAGCATCTAATACTCATCATCAGAACCGTAATCATGCTTGCGATCATCGGAATATTCACAACAATATCAAACCACAAAAAATATGATGTTCCTCGAGAAAGATGCTCAGTCGCTGTCTGCGGTTGACGAACATGGCCAACCACTACTTCTAAGGGCAGCGAGAACCTAGATCACGCAGAATTATTGCTGATGATGATGATGATGATGATGATGAGGATGGTGGTGATGGTGGTGATGGTGATGGCGATGATGATGATGATGGTGATGGCGATGATCCTGGGACTCGGCCCTTCATTCCCCAATCCCCTCTCAAGAACACGCGCAGGAGCCCTGGACACACCCTAAACCCTAAACCCTAAACCCTAAACCCTAAACCCTAAACCCTAAACCCTAAACCCTAAACAGATCCTTTTCGCACGGAAGCTTTCGATCCGAGCTCATTGGCCTCGATTCGGCCAGACTGCTCCCTGAGCTCCCCTGATGAACACGACATCGATCAGCTCCATTTTGGGCCTTGGTAGCCAAGCTCGCTTTTTCTGCCAAGGGTCTGCAGTTCAGTGGGTTTAGGGTTTGGGTTCTAGGGTTAGAGGTTTTTGGGGATCAGCTCCATGTTGGGCCTTGGTGGAGTGTAGGGTAATTAGGATACTTAGGGTTTGGGGTTTGAGGTTGAAGGGCTTAGGGTTTGAGCCCAGCAACCACTTCATTATAAGGGTAGCCCCCCCTCCTTTTTTTTTGGGAGGGGGGGGGGGCAGGCACTTGATAAGGGAGCCTTGGACCAAAAAAAAACGGGAAAAGGGTACCCCCTGGGCGGCCAAGGGGCACCCAGGATCGCCGCAGCAATGAAAACCACTGCTGCCGGCGGGATTCTGGGAGCGATTTCCTCGCGTACTGCAGGTGCTCGATCGCCCGCTGTCTGGGCGCCCACTCTTCAGAGCCGGACGCGTTCCTATACTCCCCTTAGAACCTTAATAAAAAGCATGTCTTTGTAATACCCTCTTGGGTTTTATATAAACAAAAATACAAAATAATTCCCAAGGGGGATACAGGCTCAAGGATTGCAGGAGGGAGTACATGCCGTCGGCGATCCGGTGTCTCACCTGCAGGCTGCTGTTCAACCCGCAAGTTTCGAGAATAACGTGGGCAGCCACGGACACGTCCGCATCCGTACTGCGGCAGTGCCCGAGCAAATCCCGGATCAACGAGTGGACAGTCTCAGCAGCGTCAGAGTCCGGGACGGCGAAGTGCACGTTGCGCGCTTGCGCCATGTACCACAGGTGGCCTCAGCTCTTCAGGCCATACTCTGCCTACCACATGTCCCTACAGGCCCGGAAAAGAAAAAAAAAACAAGAGCTGCCAAATACAGATGACCTGCCAGATACGTCCCCAAGGAGCAGAGGAATCTCTTTGACAAGGCAGGGTCATCTGCAGCTTGTCCCCTAAAGCATCGCTCTCGGGCATCCAGAAGGCACTTGCCAGCTTGCATGTATCTGCTGGGCCTCCATCCGCGGCCCAAGGCGCGTCCGAAGGCCAGCACAGAGGAAGCCCTGAGTTGAGGGTTGTAGGGCTTACCCTAAACCCTAAACCCTAAACCCTAAACCTCAAACCCCTAAACCCGAAACGATAAACCCTAAACAACCTCAATATGGCAGCTCCAGCCTTCGACACAAAGACTTCCCTGAAAGGGCTTGGGGTTCTTGGGGTTCTTGGGGTTCTTGACGCTTGAACCCTGAACCCTGCGCCGTAAACCCTAAACCCTAAACTCCAGGCGATTTAGGACTTTGGGGTCTTAGGGCCCGATTTTTCTGCCACCCTAAACTCATCTCCTCCTTCTCTGGGTCCCATGGCCTGTATGTTGCCTTCACCGTTTTACAAGGGCCTAAGGGGCATTAGGCTTTGGGCGGGTATCGGGGCTGGAGGCTGGGGGGGGCGTTGCTTAGGGCTTAAGATTCGTGTAGCTGTCGTGCCGAATAGCATGAGCAAGACGACATACGAAACCTTGTACAACAGGGGCCGTAAAAGAATTGGGGGTTCTCATGGTGTAATTGTGTAGGGGCCATTTAAGGGAATGCTATTATTCATTATCCCTAAACCCTAAACCCTAAACCCTAAACCCTAAACCCTAAACCCTAAACCCTAAACCCTAAACCCCCATATTTCAAGACAGGCCTTGCAAAGTTTCCGAGCTCGACGACATGGTGAAGCATTGCCTCAAGGGACTCAAGGAGGGACCCTTGCTAAGGGACCTTCGGGGTTATTTTGGGGGGTGAGTTAGGGGCTACTGAGGTTAAACCCTAAACCCTAAACCCTAAACCCTAAACCCTAAACCCTAAACCCAGGTATATAGGGACTCTATAAGGTACCTATAGGGGTTATATAGGGCAATCAGACTCAGTGTCTCTTCTAGGGGTCTCTCCTTGCAAAATTACGGACTCCTGGTCCGAGTACGGCCCGCTTTAGGCAAGAGGGCGATGGAAGGTAACCAGTTCCATAATCCTACTACGCCCTAAACCCTAAACCCTAAACCCTACACCCTAAACCCTAAACCCTAAACCCTAAACCCCAAAACCCAAAACCCTAAACCCTAAACCCCGACCCCGAACCCCTAAACCCTAAACCCTAAGCCCTAAACCAAGAACTAGCAAGTTTTTTTTTCTACCTGTCCTGTGGATCCGTGGCCCGCCGTGATGCCAGGTGGAGGGCCATCATCTCCGGCACCTCAGTTTGGGGTTTAGGGTTTAGGGTTTGGGGTTTGGGGTTGGGGTTTGGGGTTTGGGGTTTGGGGTTCGGGGTTTGGGGTTTAGGGTTTAGGGTTTAGGGTTTAGGGTTCCTCTCTGACCGTTTCAGGGTTTAAGGGCTTGAGGGTTCAAGAGGGCTTGGGGGTTTAAGAGTGCTTCTGCACGGGGCGTAGATGTCTATATAAGGGATCCGGGGGCCCTCTAGCTCCACGGTAGCCTTGCAGGACCCCTTTCCGAAGTTCGGGGTCTAGGGTTTCGTGGTAGCCCAGCAACCGTATCAGAATGAGGGTACCCTTTTTTGGGGGTTAGCTACGTTATAAGGGAACCTTGAAGCAACAAAAGGGAAAAGGGCACCACTGGGCTATTCAGGTTTAGGGTTTTCCCAGCATAAAGCCAAGCAACTCCCATGAAGGGAAGGATCGCAGGCCTCAGTCGACTTCTGGGCATAAAGCTACAACTACTTGAAGCGGTTTAGGGGTTAGGGTTTAGGGTTTAGGGTCTAGGGTCCAGGGTTTAGGGTTTAGGGTTTAGGGTGTAGGGTGTAGGGTGTAGGGTGTAGGGTTTGGGTGTAGGGTGTAGGGTTTAGGGTTTAGGGTTTAGGGTTAGGGTTTAGGGTTTAGGGTTTAGGCTTTAGGGTTTAGGGGTTAGGGTTTAGGGTTTAGGGTTTCGGTTCATGGGAAGCTGTGGGGGTCATGTAGGGAAGCTCTGGCTGCAAGCCGTTGTAACATGAACCTCCAAGTAGGGGAAACCCAGCCATGCTAAGCCCCCCAAGCCCTGAACCCTTACTAAACCCCCTAAACCCTAAACCCTAAACCCTAAACCCTAAACCCTAAACCCTAAACCCTAAACCCTAAACCCATAAGCGGAAGAAGGGCCCACTCCTGATCCTCATGGCAAAGCACAAAGTGAGCACAGCCACACAGGCGTCCGATGAAGAGGGGCCAGAGACCTCCCCAAGTGCAGCGTTTTGGGATTCTTTCGGCCTTAGAGATTGCTCTTTGGAGCTTCGGGCTTTGGGATTTGGGGTTCAGCAAGGTGTTTGAGGGTCTTATTGTCTTCATGGTTGACTGCGAAGACCGACTTGGAGAATCGTGGGTACTGCGAAGTAGGGTTACAAGAAGGAGAGCTGGAGCTCTACTTCTATGCACATATATGTCTACGTATGGCCTTGATTCAAGCTACTCATGAACCTCCAAGTACATCTTGTTAGGGCCCCAGCACAAAGTGCCCGCACAAAACTCGTGCCGGCCTCCCCCACGTGACATGCTCAGGGGTAGTGTTTGGGATGTTCCCCCTTCTTCTAACAGTCCTGAATAGGGATTATAGTACCCCTATGATAATCCCCATTGTTTGTATAGGGGGGAACATCCCAAGTAGGCAGCAGAAACTTTCCTGACCCCAAAACTTCGTAGCCCAGTAACCATATCATGAACAGGGTACCCTTTCTTTGGTTGGGCACAACCAAAAAAAACGGGTGTAAAGCGTACCACTGGGCTACCAAGAAAACCCTAAACCCTAAACCCTAAACACTAAACCCTAAACCCTAAACCCTAAACCCCAAACCCTAAACCCTAAACCCTAAACCCTAAACTCAAGGGCCTCTGCGATCACCTCCCCCGTCTCAATCTCGCCTGCGTGCGGAAGACTGCTTGACCTGGGCGCCGGTCACGGAAAAATTTCGGGATTCCGGAATCTTTGGATAAGGGGCCACTGGATAGGTCTACCCTAAACCCTAAACCCTAAACCCCAAACCCCAAACCCTAAACCCTAAACCCTTAAACTAAAACCCCTAAACCCTTAAACCCTTAAACTCCTAAGACCCTGAAGCCCCTGGAAGCCCTTATAAACCCCCGGACCCTATAGGGCCCTACCCTACAGCACCTGCGGACAAGCTTCGGCAAGGACTCCGATGATCCAGATTTGCGGAGGAGAGTCGACAACGTCAGCAGCGCAGACTCCAGCTGGCCCGCGTTCGACTCGCTGACGCGATTCCTTACTACTTGGAGGTTCAGGGCACTTATAACCCCTATACTTATAGCTGCACTTAGCAAGCCCCCTAAGTCCCCTAAGGCCCCTAAGTAGGTTATAAGTTGTCCAGTACCTAGGGGAACTAAAGGTTAACCTTTGGGACTATAAGGGGATTATATTACCCACGAGATTCCTCACCGGAAGGTGAATAGGGTTTGCGGGCTTAGGGGGGGGGGGGGGGGGGTTAGGGCGGCTTAGGGGGATTTAGGAGGTTGAGGGCGGCTCGGGGCTTACAAAACCCTAACCGAGAACCCAAAGCCCTAAACCCTAAACCCTAAACCCTCAACCCAAACCCCAAACTCTAGCCCGAACCCCTAAACGCCAAACCAGGAAGAGCTCGGAGGGCCCTTACAGCCCTCTGAAAAATGTCGCAGACAGGATCCTCTTAAACCCAACACACGAAGATATAAATGTATCAGCAGCCTTCCCTAACTGAAAACCCGAAGCCGTCCTAAACCCTAATCCCAAGCCCTAAACCCTAAACCCTAGCCCTACACCCTAAACGCTCTTATTTTCAACATACACCCTAAACCCCAAACCCTAAAACCCTAAGCCCTAAACCCTAAACCCTAAACCCTAACCCTAAACCCTAAACCCTAAACCCTAAACCCTAAACCAAGAGCAAGGCGCAGCTCCTCCACAGTCTCCCGCGCAGCGCGCAAGCTCCGGAGCGCCTCCTCCGCGGCGCGCTCGAAGTCGCTGGCCGACCTGGGGTTTAGGGTTTAGGGTTTGGGGTTTGGGGTTTAGGGCTTAGGGTTTAGGGTTTAGGGTTTAGGGTTTAGGGCTTAGGGTTTTAGGGTTTGGGGTTTAGGGTTTAAGGTTTAAGGTTTGGGGTTCAGAGTTCAGGGTTCAGGGATTCGGGTTTAGGGCATAGGGTTTGGGGTGTAAGGCTTAGGGGCTCAGAGTGGCGTAGGGCTCAGGGTTTCGGGTTTAGGGCTTCGAGTTCGGGCTTCGGGGGAAGAGTGATGCAACCGAAGAGTTGCAGTTGGGTGGCTCGGTCTGGCATGCCGCATCCACCATGGGCACCCGGACGCCACGTGGCGGCCGGTGGCCTGGTGGCCTGGGCTGCGCTGTGCCAAAGCAAGGCGTTGAGTAGGAGTGGCAGCTGCCATTCAGGGTTTAGGGTTTAGGGTTTAGGGTTTAGGGTTTAGGGTTTAGGGTTTAGGGTTTAGGGTTGAGGGTTGAGGGTTGAGGGTTGAGGGTTTAGGGTTTAGGGTTGAGGGCTTAGGCTTAGGCCGAAACAGCATGGACGCAACCCTACTCCCCAAACCCTAAGCCCCAAAACCCCAGACCCTGCGCCCCTAAACCCCAAACCCCAAACTTTAAAACCTTAAACTTTAAACCCTAAACCCTAAACCCTAAATCCTAAACCCTAAACCCTAAACCCTAAACCCCCCCAAAGTTCCGAAGCAACCTAGCTGCACCGCGTGAGGGTGTTCGTCCACGCAAGCGGCGTCGGGCTCATGGGGCTCAAGCTCCTTCTTGCAAGGACTTCGTTAAGGTTTAGGGTTTAGGGTTTAGGGTTTAGGGTTTAGGGTTTAGGGTTTAGGGTTTAGGGTTTAGGGTTTAGGGTTTAGGGTTTAGGGTTTAGGGTTTAGGGTTGAGGGGTTAGGGTTTAGGGTTTAGGGTTTAGGGTTTAGGGTTTAGGGTTTAGGGTTTAGGGTTTAGGGTTTAGGGTTTAGGGTTTAGGGTTTAGGGCTTAGGGCTTAGGGCTTAGGGCTTAGGGTTTAGGGTTTAGGGTTAGGGATGAGGGTTTAGGGTTTAGGGTTTAGGGTTTGCCGGGTTTAGATAGGGCTTAGGGTTCAGGGTCCTAAACCCTAAACCCAAACCCTGAGCTTCGGGTCCTGCAGAGGTGAGCCGCTCTCGGGCGCACGCGTAGAACTACCGGGAGAGTCCATCCTCATGGAAAGAGGATATGTAGGCTTTAGGGTTGGGGTTTCGGGTTTAGAGTTCAGGGTGTAGGGTAAAAGAGGATATGTAGGCTTTAGGGTTTGGGGTTTCGGGTTTAGGGTTTAGGGTGTAGGGTTTAGGGTTTAGGGTCTAGGGTTTAGGGTTCGGGTGTAGGGTTTATAGTGGTGACATCGCAGTTAGAATATTGAAAAACGGGGGGGGGGGGGGGGGTTGCAGTTAGAATATTTTGGTGCGGAGGGTAAACGGCCGGACTTTACCCTGGAACCAAACCTTGAAGTTGAACACTTTGAACAACGGGCGGGTGCAGATAGAACATTTTTTAACGGCCACGTGCAGATAGAACATTCTCTGCAGATAGAATATGCTTAAGACAGCCTGTTAGTTTAGCACGAAAAGAGGTTCTGAAAAGATTCTAGTAGGATTCCTTTTAGCTTATTTTGTTGAAAGGATTCTTTTTAGGTGTAATAGGATTCCTACTTGCTCAAACAGGGTTCTTACTAGTTTTAAACAGGCTTCTTTTTAGAATGTAATGGGATGCCTATTCGTTTCAGTTTGATTCCGATGAGATGATATAAACAGGATTCCCACTCATTGTAGATGGGATTCATACTGAATAGACACATTCCTTGGCTGCACTCAGGAGGGTAGCTATAAATTAAACTTTTAGCTGCCTTAGTAAGAAACCCAATAAACCCAAAAAAGGTAAGGATCTAAAGCTACAGTAAGGTACCACAAAGATTCTATCTGCAAGTTCTGTGAGGATGCGGTAAGTCGGGATCAGCTCGAAAGCTTCGTGAGGCGCGAAGAGCAGCTCGGGCCCGATTGTGGAGGGCCATCTAACACTTTCTCCCACCCCACGCCGTCCGAGGCGGCAAAGCCACCCAAACCTATTCCTTTTCGGCTTTAGGCCTAAACTCAAGTCAACAGTCCACTTCTAAAAACTTCTTCCATTTCAGGGCATGTCGTGTTCCCAGCAAAAAGTGCAAGGGGTCTCAGAGCATGTTTCAGGAGGGGGGCTTTAGGAATGCCAGGGGTCCCAGTTGGGTATCAGGGGGTCACCCGCCCCGCCTGCCCTGCCCTGGTCCCGTGGCGAGGGCCCAAAAAACCACCAGCCACATCCAGGAACAAGGATCTCGGTCGGCTTGTGCCATCGATCGACGGCACTGTCGGGGGGGGGGTGGCCTAAGCCTTGAGTTTAGGGTTTAGGGTTGGGACTTAGGGCTTAGGGTTTAGGGTTTAGGGTTTAGGGTTTAGGGTATAGGGCTTAGGGTTTAGGGTTTAGGGCTTAGGGCTTAGGGCTTAGGGGTTTGGGGTTTAGGGTTGAGGGTTTAGGGTTCAGGGTTCAGGGTTTAGGGTTTAGGGTTTAGGGTTTAGGGTTTAGGGTTTAGGGTTTAGGGTTTAGGGTTTAGGGTTTAGGGTTTTTAGGGTTTAGGGTTTAGGGTTTAGGGTTTAGGGTTTAGGGTTTAGGGTTTAGGGTTTAGGGTTTAGGGTTTAGGGTTTGGGTTAGGGTTTAGGGTTTAGGGGGGTAAAGTTTAGGATTTAGGATTTAGGATTTAGGATTTAGGGTTCAGGGTTTAGGGTTTAGGGTTTAGGGTTTAGGGTTTAGGGTTTAGGGTTTAGGGTTTAGGGTTTAGGGTTTAGGGTTTAGGGTTTAGGGTTTAGGGTTTAGGGTGCCAAAAGGGCGGGAACCTGGTTCAGCCAGGGGCCAGTTGAAGTATTCAACACTCTAAAATGCACTTACGACCTGCATGCTGAAAAACCCAAAGCCCCAAACCCCAAACCCCAAACCCTAAACCCTAAACCGTAACCCTCACATGTCAGAGAGTTCGCTGAGCGCTGCACGAGGAATTGCGAAGCGGCAGCTGCCCGAAGGGAGGTCGTATGCCTACCTCACTGCTGTGCGGGACACCAAACGCAAAGGTGCTAGGCGTACACACCTCGTAGCGCAGGTGTGAATTTTGCATACCTACATGTACACACACACCCGCGCGCGCGCGCGCAGATACACTCACTCACTCACTCACTCACTCACCCGCCCACTCACTCACTCACTCACTCACTCACTCACTCACTCACTCACTCACCTCTCTCTCACTCTCTTTCTCTCTCTCTCTCTCTCTCTCGCTCTCGCTCTCTCGCTCTCTCGCTCTCTCGCTCTCTCTCTCTCTCTCTCTCTCTCTCTCTCTCTCTCTCTCCCTGTATATGTGTGTATGTTATATATGCAAAGATGGTCCCCACCCCATGACCCACCCCCCCCCCAAAAGGGGTACCCCTCTGCTCGGAAACCCCCATATAGCTTTTCTTATCTGTGTCCTGGGTCCTGGGTCGTTATCTTGATTCTGAGTAACGTTGTATAGGGTATATTGACTCAAGCTTAAATACACGGCTCATACTTGCGAAAGCAATGAGGAAGAATTGGAAAATGTTCGTTGATACTTTTCCTGAATTAGCAGGTGGTTTGATTTTTGACGAAAACCATGCTTTCCCTAGTGAAGAGACGACTTTCTCACACAATCCATCTACGTTCCTAGGGAAAAGTTGCTTCTTCACCAAAACCATCTTCTACTCGGGGAAAACCGGTCGTTCAAATCAACCCTTGCCGACATTGGATAAAATAGGGGCCTTAATACTTAGTATAGGGTTTTGGGGGAGTTATTTAAGTATAATTACAAAGGGGCCATGAAGGAATGCGGCTGACGGTTGGGGAGGCATTAGGGTCGAGGGTTGAGGGTTGAGGGTTGAGGGTTTGGGGCTTAGGGTTGAGGGCTTAGGGTTGAGGGTTGAGGGTTGAGGGTTGAGGGTGAGGGTTGAGGGTTGAGGGTTGAGGGTTGAGGGTTGAGGGTTGAGGGTTGAGGGTTGAGGGTTGAGGGTTGAGGGTTGAGGGTTGAGGGTTGAGGGTTGAGGGTTGAGGGTTGAGGGTTGAGGGTTGAGGGTTGAGGGTTGAGGTTTGAGGGTTGAGGGTTGAGGGTTGAGGGTTGAGGGTTGAGGGTTGAGGGTTGAGGGTTGAGGGTTGAGGGTTGAGGGTTGAGGGTTGAGGGTTTGGGGCTTAGGGCTTAGGGTTGAGGGCTTAGGGCTTAGGGTTTAGGACGTGCCTTCGCCGCACCGGCGCAGACCCAGCTCAGCACGGCCTGGGTTCCGGCGCTGTTCGAGCTCAGCTAAACCCTAAACCCTAAACCCTAAACCCTAAACCCTAAACCCCGGAGTGCAAATCGCCCAAAACCTATGGGAAACGGTTGCGAACACCCCTTGGTAGCCCAGCAACCATATGGGGGTTTCCGTTGGGGGTCGCTTTTAGGGGTCCCTTATGATCGCAAACGCTCGTATGAAGATAAGGGTACCACAGATCTCAAAGAGCGGTCATGTCATGAGAGGGAGCCGGACTGACAATATGGGTACACTATTTAAGGCTAGTTACTTTCTAAGGAACGTTGCACCACAAAAAGGGCAAAGGGTACCATGGGCTACCAAGCCCCAATTTAAAAAAAAGGGCATGCCCACACAAACCTTGATACATGACCCGGACACCCTTGGCAAAGGAAGGGCACAAAAAACGTGCGGAAAGACCTTGAAAGCAAAATCGCCCAGACCAGCCTGCGCGTGTTGCGCAGCCAACGCACACGGGTCTCCTGCAGTCTGCATGTGGCTGCGGTTCAGGGTTGAGCATGACAGCGGGGGAGATTGTCCTAGGGAGGGCCTCAGACTAGGCCCTATAGAAGCCCCAAATTCCAAAGCGTTTAAACCCTACCTAAAAGCCGAGTCCCCGAAACCGACGGCCCTGTCCCAGAATCCTAAAGCACTCAACCCCTATAATACCAAAACACTGAAAACCACCTTGTAAAGAAGGGTGCAAGAAGGGTGCGGTGGGGCGCGCGCATGTGCATGGCTGTAGCAATGTCACATGCGAAATTGCGGCCTGAAGATTGTTGCTCCTCTGCTTGGGCCTAAGTGAGCATATACAACGACCCTGCGCTTGTAACCACCCTAGCCCTAGACCCTAAACCCCACTCCAACCAGGCACGGGGCTTGCCGGGCTCACTCCTGCACAGAGCATTGGCAAAGGTGGCAGCGCCAAAGAGAAAGAGGTGAAACCGTTGGATACCGCGCTGGGGGCAGAAATGGCGCTGCATGGAAGTTGCAAACACGCCGCATGCTCCAGTGCAAGTCACAGAAGCCTGACAGAAAGCTAGTGGTCTTAAACCATAAACCCTAAACCCTAAACCCTAAACCCTAAACCCTAAAGTCTTACCAGCGCACCTCTGCCTTGCAAGCAATAAAGCTCGCACGGTGACTACCTTTTTTCTGGCCATCCTGGCAGAAGACGTCGCAAATTCCAGCGGCGGTGCCAGTCATGAGCACAAGAGCACAAATCAATAAAAATGGTACATTAGTGTTATTTTAAGAAAACAGCTGACCCAGAATGGCGACAAAATTTGAAAGGGTTGAAGCAATCGCTTCTTTCTTGGGCTTGTGGATACGTAGACGTAGACCCTCGGGCAGGCAGAAGCAAGCTCCCAGAGTTCCGGATGCTCCAGGAGATCAACAAACCCTGGTTAAAGGGGTGTGCTCCTACACCCTACGGTCCTGCAAATGAAATGCCCCCAGCTGGCGCTTCCCCCCCCCCCGAACCCTACAACCGACACCCTAAACCCTAAACACTAAACCCTAAACCCTAAACCAGCTTCCCGCGGCACTTCAGGCTTCAGGGGGGGCCCCAGGGTGTGGGAGGAGTCGCTCCACAAGTCGACCGGACATGGTCTGGCGTTTAGGGTTTAGGATTTGGGTGGTTGTCAAAATTATGGTCCCTTTTTGGATCCCTATTTTAATACGGCACCTAATATTTAGGGTACCCTAAAAGGAATCATAATTTTGACATCCACCCATTTAGCAGGCCAAAACCCAAATCAACCTCAGGTTTCGGGTTTGGAAGGCACCAAGTGCCAGGGTGTTCTGGCGTGGAAGTCCAGAGTCCAGGGCTTCGGGCTTAGGAGAATGAGCCTCTACCTGCCTTCGCGGCCACCACGCAGACTCCTCCGGAAGAAACGCCAGTGACAGCAGCTTTCAAGATGCAACATCGGGTCTCAGGAAGCCCTGCCTAAGTGGCGGAAGCCGAGGCGCTCCCGCCCATCGCCTTCAGGAAACTCCTGGGCTGGGAATGGGGCGTCGCCCGCTGCAAGCTGGGGATTGGATATCGGCAAGTGCCACGGCAGGTTCCCTAAAAGAAGGCCCCTTTGGGGGGCGCCTGTTCTTGAACGGAACCATGTGTGTGTGTGCACGCGCGACGGAAGACGCCCCTTTTATGCAAGCTCACCAAGAAGCACAGCTCAACTTTCGAGGCCCAGCAAGCATCTGCGGAGGCAGCCCTCTGCAGCGGATGTTCAGCCTCGCTGGGTCAAAAATCGTTGTACGACACCTCCTCTCGTGGTGCGTCAGTGCCAGGGTCTCTTCCTAAACCCTAAAACCCTAAAACCCTAAACCCTAAACCCTAAAACCTAAAACCCTAAACCCTAAAACCCTAAACCCTAACACCTAAGTCTGCACTGCAACGGAAAGTTGCGGAAGGAAGCCTCAGAGTGAAAGGGTTGCGAAGCTTCCTGCAGGCTTTGACAACCGACAAGTCCCTTACGCCACTTGGATGGTTAACCCTAAACCCTAAACCCTAAACCCTAAACCCCAAACCCTAAACCCTAAACCCTAAACCTACAATTTCGGGGGTTGAAATTAGGGGTCCCCTATCTTCGCCAAACCCCTCTTCGCCGGGCAGGAAGCAAAGAAGCGCCCGTCAGTTTGACGAGGACGCACAGTACAAACAAGCATCCTTCGGATTCTTCCAATTGTCGAACCTTTATTCTAGTGTACTTATATAGGGACCATAAGTCCGACCCCTACAGTATAGTGCAGTATCTGCCTGATAGATGTTGGGCCTCTTAGAAACATGAGATGCGCGTTTCAAGCAACTGCACTGGAAGACAAGGATACTTCACAAGGATACTTCATGGTCGCCACAAGATCAGCCACAAGCCTCTGCCTCAGCACACAGGCCACCTGCAACTTGGGCCCCTTCGAGCCTAGCCCAGGCGGCGCCCGACCTTCATGGTCAGCAGCTGCTTGCAGAGTTTCACGCCACCTGTTGCACGGACCCAACCACCACGGCCGGCTGACCCCCTGGCGCGGGCTCGTCCATCTTGGCCTTGCAGCAGCCGCAGCACACGCAGCAGCCCAGCGAGGCCGCCACGATGCCCAAGATGCAGGTGGCCCAGCCAAAGGCGCCGATGTAGACCACCAGGAAGCCCAGCGCGTTGCAAAGGGATGACATGTCGTCCCTCTCCGTCGCTGTGCACTCGTAGCCGCCGCAGCGCTCATTGCAAATGGCATCCACGAAAGGCCCGCAGGCACCCATGGAGCCAAGGAGGGGAATCGCCAAGGAGACCAATCCAAGCACGATGGCGAAGCCAGCAATGATCTTCCCGTACTGCCTCAACACTCCGCAGCAAAGCGGCAAGGAGGCAAGGACCACCATGATGAGGGCCAGCGCCATGCCACCGAAAGAGCCACCGTAGAGGGACGCCGTGAAGGCATTCTGGTCCCACCCCTCATTTTGGCAGGCCCAGGCGGAGGCGCAGCAGGCAGCCAGGAGAAGGGCCTGCGACACATCAGAACTCGCAACGCCGACAAGCAACGAATGCTGTCCTTATGTGCCCTCATCAGCATCAGCCTCAATGCATCGCAGAGCAAGTTCGATCACAACCGATGTTTCTTGGGATGTTCCCCTCTTCCTTATACTATCAGGCCTTAGTAGGGAGCATAGTACCCCCAATCATAATCCCTATGAAGGACTGTTAGTATAAGTGGGAACCCAAGATGTTTCAAACCCTAAACCCTAAACCCTAATTAAACCCTAAACCCTAAACCCTACACCCTAAACCCTAAACCCTAAACCCTAAACCCCATACCCCAAACCCGAAACCCTAAACCCTAAACCCTAAACCAAGGCGGCCTTGGACATCAGGGATGCCATGGTGGAGCGAGGGATCGTGCTCTTCGAAGCGCTTGAGCCGCCAGCGTGCTCGGCCCAGACAGTGACACTCTGAGCTTGCTTCTACTTACTGTGGGTTAGGGGTTTAGGGTTTAGGGTTTAGGGTTTAGGGTTTAGGGTTTAGGGTTTAGGGTTTAGGGTTCAGGGTTCAGGGTTCAGGGTTCAGAGCCTGGTTCTTAGTAGGGAATGAGGGAGTGAGGTACCTTATATCCCCCTATAGATACCCTTTAAGGGATTCTATAGGGTACCTGATTCCCTCATTCCCTAACCAGCAAGTCTAGGGTTTAGGGTTTAGGGTTTAGGGTTTAGGGTTTAGGGTTTAGGGTTTAGGGTTTAGGGTTTAGGGTTTAGGGTTTAGGGTTTAGGGTTTTCCTGGAGTCACTAGCAGCTAAACATAACATGTACCCTTTTTGAACGCTTCGTATATCTCTGCAAAGCCGAGACTCCCCCCTAAACCCTAAACCCTAAACCCTAAACCCTGAACCCTAAACCCTCTAGACCCTAGACCCCAAACTCTGGAATTTGGAAATTTCCCCGTTGCCGAGGGAGGCGCCGGCCATTCCAAGTCTTCGAGCCTCTCGTCGGCAGCCACTAGGACTGCTGGCGGTTCAGGGTGTTTAGGGTTTAGGGTTTAGGGTTTCGGGTTTAGGGTTTAGGGTTTAGGGTTTAGGGTTCAGGGTTCAGGGTTTAGGGTTTGGGGCTTCGGGCTTCGGGTTTCGGGTTTCGGGTTTAGGACTTATGCATTAAAAAAGGTTGTAGTAGAGCTTCGAGCTTGGGTCTTGTAAGCCCCACGCAAACCCGCATCCTAGAGAGTAGCGTAGTAGCTTGCTCCTTCTTTACAGGGATCTTCATTAAGATAGGTGCCATAGAACCGTAGAGCCGTATAGCCCTCCATACCCTACAGCCTAAACCCGGCAACCTGAACCTTTTCAGGGTTCATCTGAAGCAGGGTACATATTTCTTGTACCCCCAAAAGGACACCCGGTAAACACACTCACCAATATTAAAAAGGAGCCTTCTATGCACTCACCAAAAACAGCAGTATAAACCCTACTTCATATAGTCCCTCATTCAACTGTTGCGAGCTCGTTGGGTTTGTTGCGATGCCCCGCGCCCCTGTAGGATTTGCCAGGCAAAGAGGGCTTTAGCACGCCCTAAACCCTGAACCCGGAACCCTAAACCCAAAAATCTTCATGGTGCCCTAAAGAAGAGCCAACAAACATGAAACATCCACAACAGCGGTCGAGAAGCTACCACATCAGGAAAGCCCAAAGACAACAAACCCTGAACCCTAAAACCCTACAACCCTAAACCCTACAACCCCCTAAACCCTAGAACCCTAAACCCTAGACCCTAGAACCCTGAACCCTAAAACCGAAACCCTAAACCCTAAACCCTAAACCCTAAACCCTAAACCCTATACCGTAAACCCTAGAGCCTTAGACCCCTAGACCGCAACTCACCAAGAAAAGATGCGCCTCCATCGCAGGAGGCGGCTGCAGTTGGGAACCTTGAGGTGTCCAAGGTTGGCTCCAGGGTTTAGGGTTAGGATTTAGGGTTTAGGGTTTAGGGTTTAGGGTTTAGGGTTTAGGGTTTAGGGTTTAGGGTTTAGGGTTTAGGGTTTAGGGTTTAGGGTTTAGGGTTTAGGGTTTAGGGTTTAGGGTTTAGGGTTTAGGGGGCAGGGTTCAGGGTTCAGGGTTCTTCGTAAAGCATAAGGTGAACATCCCCACACCCACATCTTGGGGCGGCAGCACTACCTCTGCAGTAGTCCAGCGCCAGAATGCACTCAGAGGCGTAAGCACGACTGATTTCGACCTTGCTTCATCATACGACCAGATTTCTCCCAGCCGGGCCAAGGATTTGAAGACATGCCTCCGCTCGACCAAGCCCGTCTGTACAGCTCCCCATCGAGCAGCCTCCCAGACCCCTGGCGGGATCCAACAAGTAGATCCCCTTAAGGGTTCCTGAAAATGACCCAAGAACAGCATGGGGTACCATTTGAAAGCTCTACCTTTTTGGATCCTCCCAGGGGTCTGGGCTGACTGGCATTCGGTGCCCACCCTGGCCTCCCCCAAACATCTTAGGCATGGGACCCTCTATCAGAATACTGGCGGGCCGAGCGGCCCTAAACCCTAAACCCTAAACCCTAAACCCTAAACCCTAAACCCTAAACCCTAAACCCTAAACCCTATCATGCTACAGCATGATTGGCCAGGAAGACTCCTACAAGTGGCCTCATGCACATTGCGGCCAAATTCTCATGAGTCCTGTTCTGGAGCTCAACGTTGTATCGAGTATGTCGAATAGAACATGTTGCACGCAGCAATATCATCTCCGATATGATATGCAATACATATATACATCTAGATATATGTTCTCTCACGCATATATACCTACATATACACACCTCTATATATATATATATATGCATACACATTTACACATGCGGACCCATGGCTATCTACTGGAACTCTCTCTTGTCGAGATGCCCGCCTTCGGCGAGCATCTCGGCCTTCACAAGCGGAAGTTCTCCAAGTTGTTGGCCAACAAATTCACCAGAGACGACACGTCCGCGTCCATAAACACATTGCTTCCACCTGCCAGTGCATTGGGTTTAGAGTTTAGGATTTAGGGTTTAGGGCTTAGGGTTTACGGTTTAGGGCTCAGGGCTTAGGGCTGAGGGGTTAGGGTTTAGGGCTTAGGGTTTAGGGTTGGTCAACTCTACTGACTCTCATGTGGTAGGTGCTACAAATCAGGGTCCCTTTTTCAGGGGTTCCGGGCTGGTACTTCAGGCACCCAAGAGGTGAAGCGAAGGTTGGCGCTGCACACTTTCTGAGAAATGACGCCCTTAAAACCGATAAGGGAAAAGATATGAAGCAGATTTCTTCTACCTCCAAAAGGACACCAAGTACATACACTCACCAATATTATACACTCACCAAGAACCGTAATATATGCCCTGCTTCATATGTCCCAACCTCAGTTGGCCGGCGCCAACCATCACCACACACCACCAATTCGAGGGTTGCGCAACATTGGAGTACATCTGTTGGGGGATTCCTATGCGAAGGAAGATTCGCATCTTGGGTATACAAAGGGTGCTAATGATTGCCGGGAAAATTCCCTCCGGTAGGAAGGGACCATAAGGGAATACTGTTCGTAATTATTCCGACCCCTGTATTACGTGCCTCCAGCACGCGCTCTGGCCTGCTTCTGATCCAGAGACCGCATCGGAGGCACGGCGTCAGACCTTCAGACTAAACAAGGGGCTTGTATAGTTAGAATAGGGTTTTGGGGGGTTATTGTAGTATAACTACAAAGGGACCACCTGGGAAGATTATTAGCAATTCTCCCGACCCTTTTGTCTACACGGGTGGTGTTGAATAATTGCTCGTATAAAGCATGCTACGCTCACAACGATCATGGCAATAAAATAGTCCCAGACCCCTGGGAGGAGCCCAAAAGTAGAGCCCCTCAAGGGTTTAGGGCTTAGGGTTTAGGGTTTGGGGCTTAGGGTTTAGGGTTCCTACAGATGACCCAGTAGTAGTATAGGGTACGATTTGGGGGTTGTACTTTTTGGATCCTCCCAGGGGTCTGGGATTGCAAAATTGTTCGCATAAAGAAAGCTACATTCACAACGATCATGGCCAGAAAGTAGGAATCCTGATCAGTGACCCCTGGGCTCGTACAGGGATGCAAGGATGACTGCAGGACGCCCAGAAGCGGCATCGTAGAAGTCCAGCAGAGAACCATCCCCCAAACCCAAAACCCTAAACCCTAAACCCTAAACTCTAAACTCTAAAACCCTAAACCCTAAACCCTAAACCCTAAACCCTAAACCCTAAACCCTAAACCCTAAACCCTAAACCCTGAACAGCACTGAGAGCAGGACCGATCTAACAGCCGCATGAGCTCGAGAACATTGCGCCGTCTCTCCTCAACTCCAAAAACCGCTAGAACTATGGGGTTTACATTAGGGTTTAGGGTTTAGGGTTAGGGCCTTGGGGCTCTCCGTATGAAAGGGTCGCTTCCAGTCCTCCACGATGCGTTGCCTTTCTGCTTGCTTGAAGCCAAACTCAGCGTCCATCTTGTCCCTGATGCTTTCGAGTAATCTGCCCACCTGCATCCCCGAGGAGCGAACTTGGAGCTTCGGTACAACAGTGGTTTTGGGTTTAGGGCAAACGCAGCTACCAGTCCCCTAAGTCCCCAAGGGTACAGTACATCTGGGAAGTCCTCTTTGTATGAAGTAGGAGTCATACACTGAGTATATACACTCACGAACATGAAAAAGGCACTTTATATACACTCACCAATAACAGAAATATAAACCCTGCTTCATATGATGGCCTTTTTGGGGGGGATCCATTCGATACTTCCTTCACACCCTCCTCCGATGAGACTCCGCGCCGTCTTGCCAGAGCCTGTATATTTAAACCCCAAACCCTAAACCCTAAACCCTAAACCCCAAACCCTAAACCCTAAACCCTAAACCCTAAACCCTGAAGCCCTAAACCCTGAAACCCTAAACCCCTTGTGGTCAACTCACTCTGGGCCTTCTCGGGAGGCGCTGAGAACCTCTCGTCCTGCCGCTGCCCGTGGATGAGTGTGCTTACCAGCCACACTCCACCCTGGCGATGTGGCGCTTTAGGGTTTAGGGTTTAGGGTTTAGGGTTTAGGGTTTAGGGTTTAGGGTTGCAACGAAACATGCGAACACAAGGTTTCTGTGCACTGCCTGAGGTGCATCAAACCCCCCCGACGCCCCATGCCTGCTTGGTGACCTGGGCTGCCGGATACGTCGCGCACAAGATCAAAGGGACGATGCCCGTGGGTACCGTGCTGCACTTGGTGCAGAAATACCTGGGAAGCCGAGGCGGCACAACGGGAGCAACAAAGAGCAACGCGGGTTCTCAACCTGCGCAGCGAGGCGCGCGCGCGCGCGCGCGCGCGCGCGCGTGCTTTAGAGATCAAAGGCAGGCAAGCGTCGTCATCGCAGTCCGCTTGTGGTTCATGATGGCCATGACATCGCCAGCCACAATCACCGCATCTTCTGTGGGTGGCAGCCATGCCTGCGAGGACGGAAGGATCCTCATTGTGGGTCCCTCGTAGCACTTGCGCGGGTGCAAGGACGTGCGCTGGTTGGGTCTGCCCCAGGGGTCCGCAGATCTGAAGGGCATCAGGTTGTTGTTGAGCATCGAGGCTTGCTGAAATGCCTTGTGGGCTTCCTCTGGACTCTGGAAGGTCACCTCGACATCGCCCTTATTCAGCGTGCGAGCATTCGTCACCCGCAGGCCTTGCGCGGAGAGAAGGTTGCCGATCTCCTGCGAGCGATGTGCTTTGGCCTTGTACTTCAACTGCTCTGTGCTGGAGCCATTCTTGACCTCAATGAGGCCACTGGTGAAGCTGGCAGCAATGCACCAAGCCAGCAAGAGCTGAGTGTCACGATCCTGTCGATTTCGCAAAAGGGTGGCGAAGTCTTGCGACGCGCTCTGCTGCGGTCGAGTCCTCACGGCCTTCAAGTTCACTTTCTCCTGGCGCCTGAGCCTCACCCGATCCTTCTCTGATTGAGGAAGAGCATCGGCATACCCCAGACCTTCCAACACCTGGGATAGGTTTAGGGGCCCTACAAAAAACTACAATCTTTTTATGGCTTTATGAGGACTACTTGGGGGATTTTAAACACTAAACCCTAGACCCTAGACCCTAAACCCTAAACCCTAAGCCCTAAACCCTAAACCCTAAACCCTAAACCCTAAACCCTAAACCCTAAACCTGCCCCTGGGGCACATCGTGGATCTGAACTACCATCTCCTCGAGCTCATGCAGCCGCTCGAGGCTCAGGAAGTGCTCCGCGCACCACTGGGCTTCCTCTAGGGTTTAGGGTTTAGGGGTTAGGGTTTAGGGTTTAGGGTTTAGGGTTTAGGGCTTAGGGCTTAGGGTTTAGGGTTTAGGGTTTAGGGTTTAAGGATTTAGGGTTTAGGGTTTAGGGTTAAGAGATTAGGGTTTAGGGTTTAGGGCTTAGGGTTTAGGGCTTAGGGTTTAGGGTTTAGGGTTTAGGGTTTAGAGATTAGGGTTTAGGGTTTAAGGTTTTAGGGTTTAGGGTTCCGGGTTTCCTCCTGGATGCTCCAGACGGCGCCCCAGCGCAGCTGATTCTTTGCCTTGGCCTGCCAGGCGTTGTAGGCACCTAGTTCATGGGTGGGACAGAACTAAAAACCTATATTTCCATGCCTTATTGAGGTTTAAGTGCCCTTAAAAATGCCTAAGCTTCTACTATTCCTTTGTTGAGTTTAGTAAGCACCCCCTTAAACGTGTAAAATGTTACCCCTACTGTGACAAAGGCACCCAGACCGGCCATGAGGTCGCCGGGCAAGGCGCGATCTCTCTCTTGCCCACGGCCCGGGCTGCAGACCTTCGGTTGCCGAGCTCATGAGCCCCCAAGAAAGTGTACCCTTTCAGTTCTTTAGGGGGTTCCCTAAACCCTAAACCCTAAACCCTAAACCCTAAACCCTAAACCCGAAACCCGAAACCCTATGCCAAAAAGTGCATAAAGCGTACTCCTTCAGCTGCTAAGAGGCGTCTCGCACCTCCCAAAGCCATTGCACCTCCCGCGGGCTCAAGTCCATGCTGTCCACGAAGGGATCGCCTCGCTGATGCACGGCAGCCAAGATGGCGCAGTCCTCACATGTCTCCCGGTTTAGGGCTTGGGGTTTAGGGTTTAGGGTAACTACAAGAGAAGTCAAAATAATGACGACGATGATGATGATGACGATGATGACGATGAATATGATAACCATGATAATTTATGATAGCGGCGCGAAGATGGTGGAACTGGTAACAACGACAGCCATGACAATCGGGAGAACTCTGAGAACAATGACAAATTATGATACGAACCGTAGGCAGGAACAATACGAAGAAGAAGGATTGTTAGTACTCTCTGCATGTCCAGTCGAGTCATTCTCACTTAGCCGTTGCCCTAAACCCTAAACCCTAAACCCCAAGCCCTAAACCCTGAACCCCAAGCCCTAAACCCTAAACCCCAAGCCCTAAACCCTAAACCCTAAACCCTAAAGCCTGGCCTTCACCAGCTGAAGCCGCACCCCGCTCATGACCAGGAAGCCGACGTCGGGGTCAAGGGGCATCTTCTGCAGAAACCGCCCGAAGAACGTGGGCTTCGGCTGGCTCTGGCCCTTCATCTTCGCCAGGGCATTCCTAGGTGTCGATTTCAACAGTCCCCAAACTTATTTATGTTTAGGGCTCCATATGAAGCAATAAGGTTTCGATTTCAACAGTCCCCAAAATTCTTTATGTTTTCGGGCTCCATATGAAACAATAAGGGAAACTTTAACAAAGTTGTCCCAAGTCGATGCCTAGATTCAGCTCCATGAGCCTGGTGATGGCTTGATCCACTCGGACTGCTGAAGGCGGGTCTGGCATCCTGGAAATGCTTGTGACGCAACTCTCCCAAAAAAAAAGTTGGCCGCAAGGTGGGTTCATGTATAGTACATGGGGATGTTCCC